TCTGTTCCCGCCGGTCTCGCTTCGTTTGCCACGGTGAGACGGCGATGGGGACTGCACGGCCGTGGTGGCGCATGTTGGTGGGCGGCGTGTTTGGTGGCGCATGATGGATCGTCTGGAGTAGTGGGTGGTTGGTGGTCCGGAGAAATCCGTGTCGGCTTGTCCGACACCGACGCGGTGACGTCTGTGGGCGCTATCGTGCCTTCCTGAAGGACGCCAGGTTTGCCCCTTCCCCCGCAATCCTCTACATACCGGGGGAAACCCTAGGACTTGTCCGGGCAGCACCGTCGTCTGCGTCGCTGTCCTTCTTGAAGGTGTTTCTTGGTATGCGGCGGTCCGGAGTGCTCGGAGTGTGGTGGAATTCTCCGGTGGGCGCAGCGGTTGTGGGTCTTCATCGTTTTCGTTGATCCGTCTTTGTTCGCATTTGTTTCTTTTTTTTCTTTTTTTTCTTTTCTCTTTCATTTCTTTTGGGCGTGACTGTGCTGCTTCCGCCCCAGCACCTAACGTTGGCTGTATCGAAGTTGGTTGCTTTGTAATACAAAGCGGGGGGAAACCCTTTTTCGTGAATGAGGCCCCTTTCATTCTCCCAAATTAATTCCTCGGAGAGAGTAGCATCTGGCAGTTGATCGGATGGAACCAAAACCATAGTTAAAAAACATTAAGCGTTAATTGTGCGTTTTGCCACCGCCTAGTGCTTTTCTAACCTAAGTGCGCACTTAAGCGCAATTAAATGCTAGGCGTTTTGCTATCACCTAGACCCTAGAGGCTAGGCGCGCTTAAGCGCCCGCCTAGGCGCTTCTTTGTAAGTCAATCCTAAAACTGTTGGAATTTTATAATATGATCAACAGGTATGTTCAGTTGTTCTATCGGTTTCCACATTTGAGGGGGAAGGGCTGATGCCCACACGGGCCACATATACTATATCAACCAAACAATAAAACAGGGAGAAAGTAACGAACATCATATCCCATACCTTCATCCTTTCTTAGAAACCAATGCCAGCAAACTGACAAGCTCTTTCCTCACCCTTGCCTTCGGTGCTTGTACCTTTGTATCCATCTCAATCTGGATCTTCAGTTCCTTCCATGCAACTTTATTCAGTTCCTTCTCCATCAAGAGCGCAATCTTGCCATCTAATTCAGTGAAGGAGCTTTTGAGACCAGGATGCTCTCCAGCGAGCCGCTTCACCTCCTGCCCGACTAGGGGATATATGGCACACTTTTCCTCAAAGCTCCTGTCAATAGTCTGTCCGTCGCACTTCTCACCCTGGGACATGTTGAGCTCTCCGTCTGCCTGTTTGACGTCGTCATCAGCGAGCGCCACGAGAATCTTCTGTTTCTTTGCCCCTTCCTGTGCCGGTGCTCGCTTGATTTTTTTTTTGACTTGGGCTTGTCCTTGTCCATAGTCTGAACGTTGCACTGCTCAGTCTGGGACAGGTTTAGCACCCCCTCGGCCTGTTTCTTTGTCCCTTCCTGTGCTGGTGCTCGCTTGATCTTCTTTGATTTGGGCTTGTCAGTCCCCCTTTTCGAAAAAAAAAGAAACCATAAGCTGCTCACTCTCCCGTTGCTGTGCAGGCGCCGGTACCTTTGGCTGCTGCGACCTACTGGTGCTGCCCGACGCCCTTTTCCTCCTCTTGGGCAGGGGATTTGGACCCGGAGCCTTCGTCGATTCCTCTTCGTTTCCCTTCCGAGAAACAGTATTTTTGGCTGATGGAGACAACTTCTTTGCCACCTCCTCCTGGCCGCGGGAGGTAACTCCGTCTTCTTCTTCGCTGGGTTCAGCGGCGGAGGGCCTCGGTGTCGCCGATGGCTTGGCCGCCTTTGGAGGCTCATCTCCTGCCGCCGCCATTGCCGCTAACGCTCGAGCGGCGGTCTCCTCATCCGTCGCTTCCCCTCCATTCCGAACTTGGTCGGACTGGGAGGCATCGGCCTCTTCCGGCGAGGGTTTCTTCGCGGGTCGGCGCTCCACCGGCTCCCCGTTGCGCCCTAGCTCCACCGAATCCTCAGATCCAGCGGCGGGTTTGCGGCCGCACCGGGCGGCACGCTTCTGGGCCATCGGGAACCGGCTACGGCGGCGGGTGGGGATCCAGCGGACGGAGAGGGAGAGGGAGACGTGGGTCGGCTCGGGTGTTCTGGGAGACTGGAGAGAGGGTCAGGCTGGTCATAGTGGGGAGTAACTTAGTTAGTAGCCTATGTTACTATCTTCATAGTAGGTAGTGTCATATGTGTAGTAATATAGATGTCTTTATTTATCACTATGTAGACTCATTTTGCATTGAAAAGTGCTATGTGATGGTAACATATTAGAGCAAGTACAATAGAGCTGAGTCAGCGGGCTATAAGGAATAAACTAGTATATTTCTGCTTAGTTGAAGGAAAGAGAAGAGGAGAGAGAAGATAAGCGGGCTCTTCGTAAAGAGCCAGCTCTAGCACGTGCTCCTAAGCACTTTGTGAGAATGAAAGGTGGGCCACATAATAAAAAAATAGTACACTCTTTTGATCTATTATTGTACATGTTGGCTATAAGATGAGCTATAGATGACATGGCACTGGCTTATAGCTGACGGCTGACTATACTATTAACCATGCTCTTGTTATTACTCTATTTGTCTCTCTCCTCATTAACTATTTGTCACCTCATCATTTTTGCTTATATGGCATTTATGTTACTCTTTAAGTTACTCCCACTATGACCAGGCTCAGTGAAGTGAAGTCTGATGCGTTGGTTTGGGTTCGGGACCTGTCAAAGTCCACATTACAGCTGGCTGGCACCCTTTTCTCTTCTATTTTTTGAACTAAAACCATGACAAAAATTATGAAACGAAGGAAGTTTTTATTCAAAATACCCTTTTCTCTTCTACTCCCTCCGTTACTAAACTTCCGCTTGCATCGATCGATTCGAAATGAACCCAAAGACAAAGACGGGGGCAACATGACGAGAACAAATGAGGAGCATCAACGTGATTATAGAGGAACCGAAGCAAACATGATTCAGGTATCCCTTAACGATTTAATCAAGTGACGCTACAGAAGCACGAACCAGACATGTCCATAAAGTTTAGAGAAATCTTTCTCATAAAGTTATGCTATGTTATGGAAATCTTTTGGCCTTCTATAAAAATATGATATGTAATTGGGGTACTCTTGAGAAAAACCATGTCTTGGGTAATATATAAAACTCATCTAAGAGCATCTACAGTCGGGCGCCTCATACTGGTCACAAATGCCCAGACGGCTCGCATGGTCACTGACCAGTCACGTTTTTCCTACCCACTCGGGTGCCTCAAACGGCTCTCAAACGCCCGGGCTGTCTGACACCCCTCATATCCATCCCAAATATGGGGGCGTCTGGGCACGCCCGCCACGTCGGTCCGGCGCACCCCTACCCCACTTCGTCCCCACAAATATCCCCAATCCAAAAACCCTAACTCACTCCACTCTCGATCCGTCTCTTCTTCTTCCCTTCAATTTCTCCGATTCGATCCACTCCGATCACTTTGACCACTCCGGTGACTGTGGCCACCATGTCGAGCGCCGGCAGTCGATCCTCCTTCGACTCCGACGAGGATCTAGCCCTCTGCATTGTCCTCGAGAGATCCAAGGTGGACACGGGTGGCAGTTCCGGATCGGCTCACCTCTCCCCCGCCGGCGCAGCGAGGAAGCTGGCGCCGGCTCCTCCTGCCCACGCTTGGCTCCGTGCGGGCTGCACAGTCCGTGCCTCCCCACGTTGTCCCCTTGCGCCGCCTGCTGCTGCTCCCCCCACGCGGACAACGGTGGGTTCTTGTGCCCACCCCTGCGGCGCCGGCCCAGACACGCACGCCGGAGTCAGACGCGTGAGCCGCCCGTCGCGAGAGGCAGCGAGCAAGGGAGAGGGACGTGGCGAAGAGCTCTGTCCGCAGCCGCCGCGGGTTACCCATGGAGCCCGACGAGGACGAGCGGCTCCTCGCCTGGGTCTACCGCCAGTCGCTTACGACGGCGGAGACAGACGCTCGGCAGCTCCGCCGGAAGAATGTGAAGGCTCTCCGGCTAGCTATCAAGCAGTCTGAGCGCGAGGCCAAGGAGAAGGTGATGGAGGCGGCTCGGATGCCCAAGGTGAAGTGGCAGCAGGACCGGGTTGTCCAACGCCTCAAGGGCCTCATCATCGTCTCCTCCTCTTCCGACGACGGCGACGGCTCCTCGCCTGGGTCTACCGCCGGTCGCTTACGACGGCAGAGACAGACGCTCGGCGGCTCCTCCGGAAGAATGCGAAGGCTCTCCGGCTAGCTATCAAGCAGTCTGAGCGCGAGGCCAAGGAGAAGGTGATGGAGGCGGCTCGGATGCCCAAGGTGAAGTGGCGGCAGGACCAGGCCGTCCGACGCCTCAAGGGCCTCATCATCATCTCCTCCTCTTCCGACGACGACGACGGCTCCTTGTTCGACGAGTCGGACGATCCTCCACAAACCGCCAACGGCTACAGCAGCGCCGCCGACCAGAAGGGGAAGGGGACGGCCCGAAAGTGGTGAAGATCCGCTTTGCTTCAATTTAATTTCAAGTTTTAGATGTAGTTTCAAGTTGTCCGTCGTTTGAACTTTGGTCGTCGTTTGGACATCCGATCTTTTGGTGAAAGTATTGTGTTTGCCTGTGTCCGTTTATTGATCTACAACCGTAGAGGGCAAATATGACCCCTCAAATGCCCGCAGACGCGTCCGGACGCATCCGTGGGCAGTGACCAGACACTCTAACTTTACAAAAGACACCATCTGATTAGTGTGGACCCGTTACATGTTCCATTGGTAAAAGATACCACATAGTACAATACCATCGTATTCAAGGCACTCCAGCTCATTTAGAAGGTGACACCAATAATATTAGACATACAATAAACATAAAAATACTAGCATATTTATTGTTTCCTATACATACCCATATTATATTAAATGTCTTATAAAAAGTTACAGAGGGAGTATTTCATTAGCAAACTAAAGTATGTTGTATGGATATGTAGTTCTCAAATTAACACACCAATCAACCATGTACTACACCACCATTTCCAGAGCCACCACCTACACTTCCACCAGCTGACCCAACTCCGGTACCTCCCCCGCTTCCGTTACCGCCGTTTGCACTGCCATACCCTCCCCCACCACCCACAACAGTGCCGGCACGACCAACACCGCTACCACCTCCTTCGCCTCCCCCACTTCCACCTACACCGGCGCCACCACCGCTCCCACCACCGGCGCTTACAGTAACCCCGCGATGGCCTATGTGAAATCCGATGCCACCTCTACCGCCACCACCTGCATGCACACCGCCGGTGCTAGCTGCCCCGCCTCCACCTCCACCTATCCCTACATCCACGCCACCATGGCGCCCTATATGAACTCCAATGCCACCTCCACCGCTACCACCTGCATGCACCCCGCCGGTGCTAGCTGCTCCACCTCCACCCCCGCCTATCCCAACATCCACGCCACCATGCCCTATATTGATGCCAATGCCCGCACCTGCTCCACCACCTACGCTTGGGCCACCGCCATGGTTAGTAGTAGCTCCACCTCCAAGTCCGCCACCTATGGCGATGGAGGTGTCGTGCCCACCATGGCTGATACTCACACCGAAACCTCGGCCACCGCCCTTGCTTCTCCCACCTCCGATGGAGAAAGACTTGCTGTCATTGAGGGTGTTCTTGTCCGCATACAGGAGCCTTGCACCAGTAGGCGGGGGGAGTGAGAAGAACACTACTAGAATTGAGATGGCAAGGAAGCAAGAAAAAGAAGTGGCCATGAGGAACTGCGGGGAAGGGTGGTGCAATTGTTGTATGTGTAGTGTACACCGATCGATGATGTAAGTGGGTAGCTGGTAGCTGCATGCCTTTATATATAATCCGGTTATGATAAATAAATCATGTTGCTTGATCAATGCTGTACTGAGTAACCGGCCTCAAGCAAAGGTGGTTTGTAGGTGAGCTGTATAGCACATGCATGGCCAAGAAAGTGCTGTTCAATGCACGGAACAATTTCATTTGCTGTCATGTTCTAAAGTGTTGCTCTGGTCTTTTTGAAAAAACTAACGCAACCATTCACACGTACTTTGGTCGACATGTACATGCAAAGTTGAGTTCCACATGGCCTTTCAAGCTCATCTTCTGGGTGCAGATTTACTTTTCTTGCAGGTGTGCTGACAGCTAGCGAATATGTTCTGCTCGAGGGCATGTGCTAAACCAAAGGCATCTCCAACGCCGTGTCACAAAATGTCCGCAAATCGTCCAGATTGATGCGTCCGAACGTTTTTTTTTACCATCCAACGTGATACCGCAAACTTTGGAGGACGGGTTCGCGAGTCTGGATTTCCGCAAACCGGCCACAAACCAGGAGAGATTTGTGGGAGTCCGAACCTCCGCCACGTAGGACTCTGACAATCCCAGTCCGCTTTTGTTCCACTATGTTCCTTCCCCCTTGCTCTGTATCCATACCCTTCTAGCCCAACACCGACATTCTCTCACTCCACCGTTTCGGCCACCGACGCCCCCCACCCTCCCACGCGCGTGCCTGCCTGGCTTCGACTATGCCGCCGTTCACCCCGAATCTGTTAGCAACTAGGTATCCTTCGCTCCCTGCTGACGCACGATGGCACAATTGTCTAATTTTAACCTATAACTACCTTGTGAGAGAGAAATTACAGACATAATATAACAATAAAATCACTGTATATAATTGTTTGCAAAAATCCATCTAGTTCTCTCTCCGTTTTCTCTACTCCCTCCGTCCCAAAATTCTTGTCTTAGATTTGCCTAGATACGGATGTATCTAATACTAAAACGTGACTTGATACATCCATATTTAGACAAATCCAAGACAAGAATTTTGGGACGGATTGAGTACTTTAAGGACCGTGAGCCAAAAAACTCAAGGTTGACCTTTTCTATTTTGTACATCACTAAATTCCCGATATGATGTACTCCCTCCATTCCAAAAAAACTCGTCTTCCATTTGTGTATCTAGACATGTTCCAGTGTTAGATACATCCGTATCTAGATAAATCTAAAACAAGTTCTTTTTGAGATGAAGGTAATAGAAATTGCTACCTACTGTACCGAGATATTTTTTCTGTAAGATTATAAAGGTAACTGCAGCGGAAATTTGCAATGACTTGTTGATGTTCTTTTTCAATTTTGCACATATGCTAGGAGTCTGCCTTTTCCTCATGGGGCGTGTACATGCCTGAGGCCGTGCCATAATGATCTAAACAAGCTTTGTGCCGCGAAAGCTCAAGTCCACAGTGGATGTGCAAGAATTATCGAGGCAATTGATTACATCAAGATTCTTTCTAGGAATCTAGTAAAATAGCCTAAAATGCATCCAAAATTTCCCCTTCAAGCCCCTCACGTTTTTCTCGATACACTTCAAACACATCTCACTCATATTCCTCCTGTTAAAAGCACTTCAAGAATGGCAAATATGTTCAAGCTCACGGATGCAAACACATATAATTTACATCCACCGTTGGATGCAGATTGAGCATCCATGATAGATTGGGGACGTCCATATGTGTGTGGAAAACTGTGTTGGACAGGTAGGTGAGTGCCTTCTTATGGGCTGAGTCCATGCTTAATTGTACATTGGGCCAACTATTACATGTGCATGTGGTTGTTAATCCGTCACCGCATCATTTTCATGGTTAAATCCTATTCGACGCTTATTGCACCCAACTATCGACAAAACACACCAGATGTTAGAAATGGGTCGATTCAATTCCGGAGTCCCGCCGATAGTGTATTTAGGGGTGGATAGGGTGGTCCATGGACCACACCGAGGTTTCCCTATAGCCTCCATATTAAAGCAAAAAATATATTCTTTATACATAAATAAATAAATTCAAATGGAATGTTCTAGTGCTAGGCCAACTTGGCCCACTGCCTGGCTATGCCACTGGGTCTAATTTTATTTTTCTCTCACCGTGTGCACTTGTATTGGTTTAGCAATTTTTCCTTCTCATTTCTGTTTCTTTGTTTTTTTCTCCTTACTTTATACTTTTCCATTTTTTATGTTTTTATTTTCATTTTCATTTTTTATTTCCCAACTTTTTTCATGTTTTACCATTTCAAGAAATACTTTTTTCATTTATATATATAGACAAAGGCATTTTTAAAGTTCTTTAAAAAAAAAACAAACCTTTGAAAGACATGAACAAATTTAAAAATGGAAAAAATATTTTTAATACATGATGTTCTTTTTTCAAATGGTATGAATTTTTATAAAATTAAAGAATACTTTTACTAAAATATGTGAACACTTCTAAAAATACATGTACATTTTTAAAATGTGTGAAGACGTCTTAAATTCCATGAACAGTTTTTTAAATACTTGAATAGTTTTTTACATTTTTTTGAAAATACGTAGAAATTGAAATATGTTTGAAAAATTTATTAAATACATAAACATGCCTCAATAACATTTGTGAAACAAAATAATTTTTAAACAAAAAAGCTGTAAAACTAAAATCTAATAGTATTGGCGTGCCTTTGGTGGCCCAGTAATTAGTGTATGTGCGCTACCCTGCCTATTTATTTGATGCCCTCAGCGGCTGTTTGGGCTCCTCAGCGGCTGTTTATCATGGTATAAGGGATCCCGCTACCTTGGAGACACTAGCGTGCAGGGAGGCCCTTGCTCTTGCAGAGGATCTTCAGGTGACAAATATGATGATTGCCTCGGATTGCAAAGGAGTGGTACAGGATATAAATGAAGGTTCAGGTGGGGCGCACTCGGCCATTGTACATGAAATAACACTTCGGAGAAGCTTCTTCAATTCGGTTGTTTTATGTTTTCGAGCGTAGAAGTCATAATTTCGAGGCTCAGTCTCACCAAATTCGCTTGTAACTTAGGAGTTGGTCAGCATGTTTGGTTGGGAACACCCCATGACCAACGCCGTGTACCTATGAACATTGCTATTATATAATAAAGTGGCGAGATTTCTCAAAAAAATATTATTTGATGCCCTAGTTTTAATGATGGGTGGGAGTTCTTGCAATCTCTCATTGACTAGTTTTTTTTTCTTTTTTGCACGAGTCTTATTGACTAGTATTAGTATATTTTTGTTCCTGGTAATTGATGAGCATGTTTGATCATTTGAGTATTTTCGTATTGAAATGGTTTCAACAGAGAAATGAAATAAAGATCACGATATGAAAGTTGAAGCCAGCGATCAACCTTAATTATTTCCCATAAAAACTTTATTAATTATTAATTCTTACATGGCGATCGACATAGCTAGGAGTAGTATGCATACATGGCACTACTCACTAGTCACTAGCTATGGTTTATTCAGGAATATAACACACACAAACACACGCACACACATAAAACGGTGGAGCATGAATCAAAGCTAGCCAATGCGGGGGGTCTCCGCGACGGTGTCGACGAAGATGCGGACACGGTCGGGCCTGAAGTCCTCGGTCACGGCGGTGCCGACCGGGAAGACCTCGATGATCTTCACGTCCGGCCTGTCCTTCATGATGATCTTCTTGGCCTCCTCGATGGACTTGCCAACCAGCTCCGGCCACGACGCCTTCTTGCCGCAGGCGTCGTCCGAGGAGCTCATTCTCGTACTGAGGACCTTATAGATTGTAAGTAGAAATCGAAATAGCCAGCCAGCTAAAGATTCACCAAAACTGAGACATGCACGGTGAGTAGTGCTCACCTGTTGAACTGAAGCACGCACTCTCGAGCCTCGACTGATGGAGGATGATCCTGATCGAATTCGTGATAGAGAGCTTTGTTTGTACTACTTGACTTGGCTTGGAGGCTCGGCTCGCTCGGGGGCTATATTTATGGACGAAGATATGCAGCGAGATTGGTGCGCAGTCGCCACACGATAGTACTATCTTCACAGATGCGGTCAGGTCAAACAAGCAACCTCTAGCTTAATTAGTTAGGCTGTATTTGACTATAGTACTGAATTCCATCAGGTGGATAACGACATGGTACTGCTGAAATAGTGGAGGATAAGGTTGATGTATATGTACGAGAGTAGAAAAAAACGCAGGCGGTGCAACATACGCCTCAAAGTCACACTTGAATTGCAATAAATGGACAGAACGACGATCTGACTGCTAGCTAAGCAACAGATCAATGACGGGGACATGACTAGCTTGTTCACTCTCAGAATGATAATTAATATGAAAAAAGAGATAATGTATGTAGACTTCGCTTAAGATGTACTCCAGTAGTCTAAGAATGTGACGGGCCAACTAGTAGTCTCTAAATTTCAATGAAAAGAATTATCTCATCTCCTTCATCTAAGGATCAAATAACTCATAAGCTTCGATATATTTACTGGACAAAATATGCGGAGGGTGTGTGTGTGGAGGTGTGTCTTCGACGGATCTCACATCATTTGATCGGTAGTTATCTTTGATGGATCCGCTCAGATCCGGTCTTCGTTCGTCTACGTTCTTGTGCCTTCATGTTAGATCCTTTCGATCAACGTCTCTCTTTATCGGCGACTGTTGTTGTTTTGATGCGTTGGTCCAATGGGGCTTTAGCACGACGACTTTCTGACTGCCTATTATAACATGTTTTGCCCATCTCCGGCGAGGGAGTGATGATGATGGGGGCGCTCCTTCGGCTCGTCAGTGCTTACAGTACTCGTTAGGTGGTCTGCGAATTTGAATGTATTTTTTTTAATTTCAGGTGCTCGTTTTACTGTTAAGATTGATGATGAATAGATCGAAAGTTTTTCCAAAAATAATAATGGAACTTGGACCTCAACCTCTATGAAATTAGCTT